TTTTTTTTAAAAAAAGTAATATGAGAAAGCTAATTGTGTCTAGCTTCAGGATTTTGCTCTATCATTTAAATTCAGCCAGAATGTTCTCAGAAATTAAACAGCATAAAAAATTTTCAATTTGGTCACATTATAGAAGGCTTAGTGCTTAGTCAGCATTGTACCCAGATGAAAAGGAATTACCTGCCAGGAAATTCCATTTTCTGAAACCCAGCCTTCAGTCATCTTTCTCAGCACCGTGAAGTAGATGCACTTCAGGACAATGCCATGTGGAAGAGGATCCATTTAAAAATCTAAGCCGTTTGGAGGGATGGGTATTTGATCATTGTATAAATGAAACCCAAGCACAAAAATGTGTAAGTCTGCAACCGTACCTCATGATGTCTCACTATTAAAAAATTTTAAAAAAATCTAAGCAGTTTGGGCTGGAGGCAGCCCAGTGGATAAGGTGCTTGCCCCGCCCTGGGTTAGGTCCCCAGCACACCTAGGTTTATTCTGGGCTCAGTGCTCAGGGATCACTCCTGGCAGCACTTAGGAACCATATGCAGATCTGGAGATTGAACCTGGTCAGCTGTGTGCAAGACAACTGCCTTACCCTCTGGGTTTTCCTTTGGGCTCAAATAAGATTTTTTTCCCCCAACAGACTGCCTGGTTGACATTTCTTGAGCTCTTAAACGTCATTTTCAGTTAACAGTCTAGGTTAGTCTCTCAGGAGGATGCCTGAAGATTCTGTTGAGTGTTTACCTAAGCTGATTGGGCTTTTCATACAAATGAGGACCGCAGGACCATAGGAAGTTTCATCTGGGATAGTTAGGAAACAGTAGCATCCACACTCGAAGGCCACCTCAAATTTTGGCCTTTATATGTTATTTCCTCTTGTTAGGGAAAAAGTACTGTGTTTTCTAGATTCCTGAATTCCTGTTTCCTAGGCAGTACAGTAACCCGTCTGTTTCTCACTCACTGGAGACTGCAAGGAGAGGCTGGCTATCATACCCTCTTCAGTGGCAGTTCCAGAGACTCTTCCCCTGGGTAGGCATTGTGATGCAGAAGGATGGACTTAGTGCAGGAGTGTGATGATGAGCCTTGTAATGAGTGTGCTAATCATGGGATCCACCACCTGCTCCTCTGGATGGTGGCATTGAATGCTTAGCTTGCTGACCATCATTGATTCTTCAGAGACAACCAAAGATGACTTTCCTGCTAGCCTCAGTTTGAATTATTCCCCAGACTAGAGTGGGTAGTGAAGTGTAGGATATGCCAGAGAGGATATCCTACAGGAAGGTGACTGGTGGGGGTCAGTTGACTCCCTGAGTATAATCCTGGCATCAGTGGGCCATGGAGGACAGATGCATGCGGTGCCAGTGTGGAATGAGCCCCATTTCCTTCACTGCCCCGGTACGGTCGATTAAGGCCTTACAGCTGTCCTCTTGTCATTATGTTAGGCTATAGAATGGGTGAGAAAGGTTGGATTAGTTTGTCCTTTGATTTAGAGGAAACATTTGTTAATTCGGCATAAAATTTGATCAGGCTCATAATGGCTCTTTGAAATTTAGCATATGAGAAACGTTTAGGGTTTGTGTGCTTATCAAAGTTGCTGCTAAGTCACCTACTTTCTCCAGTCTTTTAATAGAGAAATTGATTACACAGAATAAATTTATTTTTTATAATACTAGCCTGGAATAATGCCACTTTCTTTAAATATATGTATGTGTATTTGTGTGTGTATTTATATTTTGGGCTTTGATTTTTGAACCCTACCAGGCAATGCTGAGGGCTTACTTTTGGCTCTGTGCTAAGGTATCACTCCTGGCAATGCTTGTTGGATCATATGTGGTGCTGGAGAGTCAAACCTAGATCTCCTGAATGCAAGGCAAGCACCCTACCCACTCTGTTATCTCTCTTGCCCACTTACTTTGAATCACGAAGAAATGAGGGGCCAAGGACTTTCTATTGCATTAACATTGGAAGTAATCTAAGATTTAATGTAAAATTAAAACTACATTGTTTCCTTTGGCTTTTTTAAATTTGCTTTATCTCAGGCATTCTGTTGTTAGGTTTTACTTGTGCTATATGAACTCTAGAATAGACAGAATGGTATCTTATTGCTTTTTCATATACATGGTTTATACATTTTTTTAATGGTGGAAATTGTAGAATGCATGTCTAATTTTTTTAACTTTCTAATTGCTTGGATTGTAAATGAATATCTAAACTTTCTGAAATGTTTTATTGATGAAAATGTGACTTTTTTTTAACAAAAGTATTGATTAGATTGAGTTAATAGTCTTGCAATAAGTTTCTCATCTCAAAATTATGCTACAATTTTACAGTGTTATGGTATGATATGGGCTGTAGTGATAGCACAGCAGGTAGGGCTTTTGCCTTGCATGCGGCTGACCTGACCTACCCAAGTTCCATTTCTCCGCCCCTCTCGGACTGCCCGGCAAGCTACCAAGAGTATCTCACTTGCACAGCAAAGCCTGGCAAGCTCCCCGTGACGTATTTTGTATGCCAAACACAGTAACAAATGTCACAATGGAGACGTTACTGGGTCGACTCGAGCAAATCATTGAACATGGGAGGCAGTGACAATGATGGTATTATCTAAAACGTTAATTTGAAAAGATAGGTACTAACATATATATGATCATTGTAGTACTTAGTAATTGGGATATCGAAGCAACTCCAATGCCCATTAGCAGTTGAATGGTTAAAGAAGTTTCAATAGGGGCTGCTGTGGCAATATAGTGGGTAGGGCATTTGCCTTGCATAAGACCAACCTGAGTGGGATCCCGGCATCCCATCTGGTCCCTGAGCATGGCCAGGAGCAATTCCTGAGTGCATGAGCCAGGAATAACCCCTGAGCATTGCCAGGCATGACCCAAAAAGAAAAGAAATAAAATTGTTTTTTAAAAAAGAAGTTGTAATATATGCACAAGAAAATTCTATGCAGCTCTAAGAGAAGATGAAAGCGTATGGTTCTCTGCAGCTTGGATGGTTTTGGAGGACATGATGCTAAGCGTCAGAGGGAAAAGGACAAGTACGGGATAACTCCACACATTTGTGGTCGATGGAGAGACAAGGGAGTAAGACGGGATGGAATGAGAGCAAAATCTTGATCTTGGCTTGTAAACCTGTTCAGTTCTCAGTTCTGAACCGAGCGTGCCCAATACGGAGAGGAATGAGAGACACTGATGTAATGTCAGGAACTGGTGGAAGTGCTTGGGCACTGGGGTGTGGTGACTGTACATCAAAGTTAGTACACACGTGACCTGAACCATAATAATTAAACTAAAAAATAATTAGGTGTTACTCGACTTCATTTTGTATCTGGGGTTTGTTTTGTTTGTGGGCCACACCTGGTGGTACATAAAAGCTACTCTGGATGCGTGCCTGGGTGTCCTGTGTGATGGTGGTGCCAGGATTCAGATCAGAGTCGCAGGCACAGCCCCATTTTCCGCAGGGTCTGGATGGACCCTTGGCCATCTGCTGCACTGGCCACGTTTGCTCAGTGATCTCAAAGACTTAACTACCCGGCCAGCTACTAGAAGTGAAGTTTCACAGAAATGGCACTGTCGCACCTTACCCACTGGTATTTTCTTTTCCAAATTTTTAATTACCTGCAGCTTTCTAGGAAGCTGTCCATTAATTGTGAGGAATCTGGCCTAGGAGTTTTCCGAACTCTGTAATTTGGTGTTTGTAATGACTGACGTCAACAAGTTTTTCTGCCACTTATTAATTACATGGAAGTTCAGTGTCTCAGTTATTATAAAATTAGTGTCAAATCGGTGATTTATTTTCTGATATTCAAAATACCTTTGATACTTTATAAATGTTTGATGACCCAGGTTATTGTATTTAGGATTAATTTTAAAACTGCATAATGGTATTGTTTAATTGAGTCTGTGGATGAATGGTCATTTATAAGGTTTGTGACATCAATCTCTGAAGCTCCTCCACAAGTTGGAGAGAGATTACTGGGGAGAAGGCGCTGGCCTTGCCCCAAGGCATCAGCTATTGTCTGTTCTCTGGTGGAGACCCAGTGGTCCCCTAAGCATTGCCAGGACTGATTCCTGAGCACAAAGCCAGAAGTAAACCCAGAGGACCACTGGGTGTGGCCCAACAACCCTCCCCTCCCCCAACAAAGAGACACCTCCGTTTCTTAAAATTTGATTTTCGATTTAAGTTGGAATCATTGCATAAATTGATCAGGTTTTGTCTTTGATTATATGCCCTTCAACATAGCTGGGGGAAAAAATGCCTGGTGAACTCTTCCTTTCGATTTGAAAATACAAAAATCAAAGACTTTTTCAATTCAAGTTAGAAATCGTTTTGGTTTTGGTTAAACCACACAACTTTTTATTTGCTTAATGTGGGGATTTGTTTTCCATTTGCTGACAGCTGCGTCCAGGGGCCCGCGTCCACGGGGAGTGTGCTACATTTGAGGGCAGGGCAGATGCTGCGCAGGACCGCTCCGCGGCTCCTCTTGGCCGTGCTGCAGGCTTGGGTTCGACCCAGACTTGGATTCAGGCCAGGCTCGGGTTCCACCTGCATGCAGTTGTTGCAGGCAGAGCGGGTGGAGTTCCTGCGTGGGTGCTTGCAATGTCTCCGGTTGCGGGTTCTTGGTGCCGGCTTATTCCAAGTGTCTCCCCTGATTCCGGGCTTTCCTCCTTTTTTTCCTCTTTTTGGGTCACACCCTGCGATGCACAGGGGTTCCTCCTGGCGCATGCGCTCAGGAATTACTCCTGGCGGTGCTCAGGGGACCCTCTGGGATGCTGGGAACCGAACTTGGGTCGGCCACGTGCAAGGCAGATGCCCTGCCCGCCTCCCCTGCCCCTCCCTTTTCTTCTCTGAAAACTGTTCCTGTCTTTGCGTTTGGGCCGCGCGTGGCGTGCGCAGGACTCGCTCCCGCTTCTGGTCGGGGTCTCCCCGCGGTGGAGCACGGCCCCCCCGGCAGCCGCGCCCCCCTTGTCTCTCCTCTAACCCGCTGTGTTCCCCCGCAGGCGTGTGCACCGCTGCCTACGATGGAAGTGGACGTGAACGGCGAGTCGAGAGCGCCGCTGGCCACCCTGCCGCTGCCCGGCGCCGAGGCCAGCCCGCCGGGGAGGGCCGAGGCCGAGAAACCCCGCTGCTCCAGCACGCCCTGCTCGCCTATGCGCCGGACGCTGTCCGGCTACCAGATCCTGCACATGGACTCCAACTACCTGGTGGGCTTCGCCACGGGCGAGGAGCTGCTCAAGCTGGCGCACAAGTGCTCGGCGGGCGACGAGGCCAAGGGCGAGGCGGTGGCTGGCCTGCGTGCCAAGCCCCTGGACACCGCCCTGGCGCGCTCCTCGCGCCTGGCCAAGGCCCGCGCCCGCCACTACCAGCCCTACGAGATCCCCGCGGTGAACGGGCGCCGGCGCCGCCGTATGCCCAGCTCCGGGGACCGGGCTGCCAAGGCCTTCCCGTGCGAACCCTACCGGGCCCTGCACGGCCCTCTGCCGCTCTGCCTGCTCAAGGGCAAGCGCGCGCACTCCAAGTCCCTGGACTACCTCAACCTGGACAAGATGCACGCCAAGGAGCCCGCCGACACGGAGGTGCTCCAGTACCAGCTGCAGCACCTCACGCTCCGCGGGGACCGGGTCTTCGCCAGGAGCAGCACCTGAGTGGCGCGGCGGCCGCCGGACCGACGCCCCTGGCGGACTGTGTGCGGGACTCTGCCCCCGCCTACCGTTGCGGCGCACGGCCACCCGCCGGGCGCAGGGTCCGGATGCAGGAGCGGATCCCACGGCCGGGAGGGGGGACCCAACTCCAGCGCGTGTCTGCGAAGAACACCCGAGTGTTGACCGTTGAGTTTGCGTAGCTGCTTGGCTAGGAAAACAAGAGCGCGAGGCTGCGGGCCGCATCATCGCGGTCCTCGAGCATCTCTCCGACTCCGGCGCTCAGACTGGAATGTGACCTGCTTGGTATGACACATTAGAAATTTGTATCTTAAGTACGCAGGTACTTGTTTGATCTCTGTATTTTACTATGAGACGTACGTAATGATTTGTTTCATGAAATTTAGAACCTGAACTTGGCTGAATTGGACCACTTTTTATTTTTCAAGATTGAGTTTAAATATTTTATAACTGGTTTTGCACTGAGAAAAATTAGCATTTCAGATGGACAAGAGAGTGGTCGTTCTTCATTTCCCTCAATAATCTTATTGAGCAATGGATTTTTTATTTCCGCATGGAAAGGTATCGACCTCTACGGCTGTAAAATATTTCTTTATAGCGTTATTCAAGTGTGTCTTAATAAAATTAAATTTGGGATACAAAGTATTTATTTTACATTAGGTGGGGGTGGGGAAAGAAGCTCTTCCAGAAAGTGTCCAACTTGAAGTTTTCCTAAGCTGGAAAAAAGTTTCCTCCGTGCTTATTTTCTTAGTTAAACTTCCTCTGGATCTTTACAATGGAAAGGATTCTTTTTATTTGTGGGCTTTAGGCATAATACTGTTTGCATCTGAATGTTCTGTAAATGAATGGAACTCCTACTAAGAGGACCTCATGGTTTCTACTAGTGAATGCTTAAACTAAGTGTGAAGTGACACCATTTAGCATGGCACCGGCTCATCCCGGTTTTAGTTTCCTGCAGTACAAGGACTCACTGAAATTCCAGTTTTTAGGATTAGAGCAGAAGGCTCAAGGACTTCTGCAGTTTTAATGGGTTAATCCTGGATTACTTAACAATTTATGTCAATTGCACTGGTTTAATTTGTTGCTAAAGAAATAATACCCTGGCTTTAGTAACAAATACAGCTCAACTATTCTTGAATATATTTTGAAAACAAAACGATGTATGTATAACTTACCTTTTTGTAAAAGTTTCTATTTCTTTTTTGACTCCTGAAGGTGCAATTTATTACTGAAATGGCATGGCATTTTGGGCAGTGGAGAACTGCTTACTTTAAATTGTATTTTGGGCAATGAATTCCTTAGGTGGTTGCAATCTTCATTTAAAATTAAGAACACCTATTAACGAGTGGGCCATTCTGGTCTTTTTCGTTAACCAGAATGAATAGCAAACTAGAGCAGAAGCGTTAGAAACCCCTAGGAACTCTTTGTCAACACTTACTATACTTTCGCCAAGGCAAACCATCTAAAGAGACCTGGGAAAGTTGGCCCATAGCTTACTGAGTTGTTCAGATTTTGTGGTGGGCTGAAATTTTCAGCTCTTGTATATTTAAAGTAAATTGCACCTTTGTAACATATTGTATTGACAAATGATCACTAAGATTAACTATATCTCTACAGTCATTAGTTTGACAAGAAATAGAATCCTGTCAGATGCCAAAGAGTTGGGATTTTTACGTTTAATGATTAAACACCGTTATTTATTGATGATTTACCCTGTGGAACTGTATTATTTCTAACTATGAAATAAAAGGGTGATGTAAACACACATTGCCGTGTGGTGCTTTCTCATCAACGGGCAACTACTGTCAGCTCCCACCAACTCTTCCCCATCGACAGGGCTGACTACCTTTCAGAATCCCGCCTAATTCTCATATTTCTCAGCCCCAAGTTGGTGCTCGTTCACATCTCGAGGTAAAGTACGCTGCTGTTTTCCCATCGTCTGTGGGGAAAGATAGTTCTGTGCCCAGGAGATCCACCCCAGTCCCCATGCTTAAATAATTTCTTGAACTAAATAAGCAATGTGTGCTTGTCTTCTGGTTTTTTTTTTCCTTCAAGATGGGTAAAACCAAGACAAACCTAAAAAACTTAACACTTTGAAATATTATGTATCTGCTATCACTTGGTTAGTAGCAAGAGCTCATTTGAAGTATGGTTTCCTAGGAAGAAAGTTTTCAAACTCTCAGTTGTTTTCAGAGTATGCTTGTCAAACCTCACTGCACTCAAATCACTCTTGCTTTTTCTACTTTCCATCATTGTACTCCTACAGGAGGTCATATTCTGTTAAATAATAGGTTTGCCTGGTTGTTTTCTAGCTAAAAAACAAAATTCCATTTTCTTTTAGCCTTTTAGCATGATGAGTTTCTGAATTCTCCTTCCCAAGGCGTTTTGATTCAATCTTCAATATCAGACAGGTACACATTTGCTCTAACACATCTCACGAGGTCTTATAACAGTTTCTCATTAAATAGCTTATAGCACCACATAACATTTTAGTTTTCCATAGAGAAGAAAAGACTGTTTTAGAGGTTCATCTGATGCACAGGGTAGCAACAGGATTTGCCTTTTCCTTGATCTAGGCTTTTATTATAATAAAAGCAATGGAAGGGTTAGAAGGTGTACGTGTCCTGTGTTTGATGTGCTTCATTTTGTACTCTTTGGATGAGTTAAGTGGGTTCCTTGATATTTTGCATTAGAAAAGAAGCAAGGACTCTTGGCTATGGAGAACACGACTAGAGACCAAGGAGCATCTTTGTTAATTACACACTTGCTGGGTTCCTGGCATACTGTGTCACATCCTTGGGAGAGCAACATTGCACTCACATTCTTGCTGCAAAAAAACCACTTGGTGCAAGGTTTTATTAAATGACTTCCACAGGAAAAGCTTGAAATCAAATGCCGTAAGCTCTCACCCCTGACCTTCGATAAACAGACTTAAGGGCCAAGTTTCCACATCAAGTGCACGTTAAGAAAAGAAAACTCCTTCAATAAAAATGCAGCATGTATGGAATAAAGGAGTTGCTGCTCCATCAGAGATGTTCAGTTAAATGATTCTGGCTTGGGGAGGCTCTTGAACAAGGCGCCCGGAGGCTTTGCATCTGTGGTAAAGTAATAGCCCTTTCAGGGTCGCTGCTGAATGCTCCGCAGAAGGGTACTTAGAGGAAGGGGCCGGAAAGAGAATCCTTGAGGCCCAATTCTGGAACTTTGAATTTTAATTCTACTAAAGTTTTATGTAAAAGGGTTATGCATAGAAACCACGTACTTATAAAACTGAATGCTCCATCCTGGGTCTTTAGTGTCAGTTAAGGCGTGGAAGAAAGTTTTGATCATACTGCAATTTGGATCTGTGGGAAGTGCCTTGAGAAAGGGTTGCAGAAACTGAGCAAGCATGAGCGTGACACACATCAGTAAGCATCTGTCCATGACCAGGCCCCCTCTGAACGTTCACTCTACTTTCCTCTTTCTTTCTTTGTCCAAACTTTGTTGTGGGAGCCACACTTGGCGGTACTCGGGCTGAACTGCTGGCTCTGTGCTTAGGGATCACTCCTGGTGGGGATATATTGTGTTGGGGATGAAGCTAAGGTCCACTGTGTTCAAGGAAAGTGCCTTAACCCCCCTTCCCCCATGTCTCTCTGCTTCCCCCCCCTTTTTTTTAAAGTGAAGCAAAGTAGTTTTATTAAAAGAAATTTACTTAGAAAGATGTGATGGGAGAGAGAATGAATTCATCCAGATTGGAGAAAAGCAGAGGAGAGAAGTATGTGGTAAGCGAGTACGCAGGCTCAGAGGAGAAGCAGCCCCTTCTCTACATCACTGTCAAGTCTGTGAGCCAGGCATGCTCTCCGTACCGGCCTTTCTCCCTTTCACGGTGTGTGTGAGGTTGCAATAGTTGAACCCGGGGCTTCACCCAGGCGAGCCAATTTTCCCACAGCCGTACTTCATCCCCGGCCCTCATTATCTCTCCACCCAGCACTTGGAGCAGCTGCTACTGACTTGGTCAGACTTACATAGGAGATAAGACCGTGCCCCCGCAATAGATTGCAACGTGAGTTGAGAAATTATCTGTATGTTTTGAGAATAGGAGACCATCCTGTGCCCGTCTTCTAACCCGCGGTCAGGTGATGTGTGCCGTCAGTTACCCTTGTCTCCGGAGCACTGACAGAACACAGGGAGACAGATGGATTTAGGACAGCGCCGCCTTCTAGGTCATGCCTCCTGGTGGAAACAGACTTAAGCAGCATAGCAGGAAGGCGCGTGTGTGTACACTGGACAGCAGCTCCAGACAGCAGCTTTAGTCTGAGGCACCAGCGTCGGAGAAGTGACTCGCTCATTTACCTGCTAGTGGCCTGGTTCACTCACTCCATTTGGCTGATGTCTGTGGCAGTTGAAATGTGCTTATTTTTCTCCCCGGTGCCTTTCTTGGGAAGTCTGGGAAGGTAAACCATGGAAAAGGTGAAGTCATTGGCCCTGAGAGTTCTAGATCAGGATTGGTGGACCTTTTCCCTATATCCTTCTCCTTTTTCAAAGAGATTTATTTCAGGTGCAGGAGAAGCCCTGGAAATGCTGGCGTTGAGGGTCAGGGATACAAGAGCTAAGAACAGAGACGTTAGATGTTCTAGATATTTCACTTATTTTTCACTCCTCCCCACCACCTCACTCTGCCTTTTGTTCTGAGTGGGACTGGGGTTGGGGGAAATGAAAAAAAGTTTAAATTAGAGTCCAAAGTCCACTTGAAAAGTTGCACTTTTTTTTTTCTTTTTGGGAGTCACACCTGGCGATGTACAGGGGTTATTTCTAGCTTTGCACTCAGGAATTACCCCTGGTAGTGCTCAGGGGACCACATGGGATGCTGGGAATCAAACCCAGGTCGACCGTCTGCAAGGCAAATGCCCTTCCCACTCTGCTATTGCTCCAGCCACGAAAAGTTGCATTCTTGATACAATTTGTATAAGAAATTGACCTCTGTATAAGGTGCCTTGCTCGAGGAGTTTCCTA